ATGCCACAACGTGACTGGTTCATGTGTTTCAAGGATCGGTTTTTGATTGGCTCCTTAGGGGGGCAGGCCATCTCTAAGTGCCATGCCTCTCCTTTTAATGTCTATGACATTGCACCCCATGGTGTCTTGATATAGAAAGTAAATGATTTGATGGTGCTTGCTCCGCCTCCTTCATGATGTTCTCTCATTGTATTGAACTTTGGCACAGTTTTGCTAAAAAAAAATAAGCCCGTCACAGATATAGTTACTAAGTGCTGCGATGGCTTTGACCTACAGGGCAATCTGCAGCCACCATTTCTTTTTAATGTGGCACCTTTAGATTGTTTTCAGGCAAAAAAAATAGTGAAACAAAAATGAGAACACCGGTACGTAATGTACATTTCTGCTGTAACCCAAAAGTGCGTGAAACTCGAATGAATTTGTGTGCATTTGGAAGACTGTGTGTGTGTGAGGGTACACGCTTTATATTGAAGTGTGTTCCTCAGTATAGGGGAGCTCTGCATCATATTGTACCAGACAGGCAGAGTGTTGGACTGAATACTAAGCAGCAGGAAGCTCCTCTTCACACAGCGCCAATCCAGCCATATAGGACACAGTGACACATACACTCGCTGGCTGAGAGCTTCTATTTCTTTCCATTTTTCACTTTACTAATTCAGGTTGGTCTTTTATAGCAAAATTAATGGACATCTAAGAGGCACACTGTATTATTACACGGTAATTACTACTCCATAGCTTAATATTGCTTATTATTAGACAACCAAACACATATGTTTGTATGCTCTTCTTTCACGGGTTTCATAAACATGCATTTTATAGCTAATAACCTTAATAAAACCACAAAATAGTGAAATTATGAAACTTGATGTTCCAAAAAGGCTGCTATTTTAAAATAATATACATTTGCAAACCTACAGTGTATCCTATGAAAACAACACACTTTTCCTTCCAGCTGAGTCCTTTCAAATGCCGTGTGACTTTCAGAAGTTTCTAAGGAAATGCGGGAAGTTCCTCATTTTCTAATGTAATTTTCCAACTTGGTGTCATTGTAAATGTTGCTATTTATGTCATAGCTCTCAAAAAATAAATTTCTAATGATTTCAAATATGCCCTTCTTTTTGAAAATGTTTTTCCTCACTTGCAAACGTCTATAACAGCCTTTCTTTCTCCATAATTCTACTGTCTTCACCAAAAATGATGCTATATGAAAATATCCTTTTTCATATAGCATAAGATTATTGGATAATATTGATATCAGAATTTCCCCATTTTACCAGTAAGTCCTTTAATGTTATTTCTTCTCTCCAAAAATCTGATAAATTATAACTAAAAAAAAAATCACAATTCAAATTAATTTTTAAAAATGCTGTTCACCAAAATCTGTTTTCTTTCCAAACACAGTCTGTTCTGACTCTACTCAAAATCTCCCTAATTTGTAGAGATGCTCTCACTTTTCAGAAATAAGAATAAGTTATAATAAGTTAACTTAAAACGTTCTTCTTTCCCTCCTTTTCTGAAATGTTTTTAAATTGTTCTGATTTTTTCAGAATTAAAAATCGGTTTCCACAAAATCTCCTCAATTCCTTGTTTTCTGAAGTATTTTTATTCTCCCTGTTATAAAGAAGTCCTTGTCCTCACTCAACAGAAGGCTTCTCTTATTTCAATAAGTCCTCTTTCCAACAACATTTTCATTATCCTTGACTTATAATAATGCCCTTCCCCTTAAGAAACAGAAAAAGAAAAAGAAAACAAAAATAATAAAATGTTAAAATCAGTTTCCCAAAATTTGACATTTTGTCTCATTCCTTTCTTATTTACCAAAACATGTTCTCGATTAAAAATACAAAAATATTACAACTTTCCTCACATATTTTAAAGTCTCATCATAGCATGTCCTTAGTTTCTAAAAAAGCTCACACTTTCCACTTAATGTCTTTCATTCATGTCAGTGTCAAAATGTCTGTAATTCCTCTCTTTACAGTATTCCTTTCACTCTTCTCATTATAACAACTTGCTGTTTAACAATTCCAGATGTCCTCCCTTTTCAATAATGTTTTCCTTTTCCAAAAAAAAGTCTCTGACTTCCCCTTCCTCTATTATTCTATTTCACATTATTGTTATTTTGTCCCAGTTTTCCTCACTTTCCAAAACTACTTGTTATTTCCCCCTTCATGCCGTCTACGAATATACCTCTCCACAAATCTCCTCACTTTCCAGAAATGTCCTCGCAGTCCTGAAAGTCCCCGTGTCCAAAACCTGAGCGCGGTCCTCAGAAAGACAAAGAGAACCACAAAGAGGATGCAGCCTATGGAAATGCACATTCATAAAGACACAGTAGTGAGGTTAGCGCACCCTCTGCACGCGCTCAAACTCACATTACTGCGCGCACATTAAGCGTGCAGCCCACTCAGTCGTATAGTTTCCAGGGAGGTGGAGGAATTTTTTTTCGGCTCAGCTCTTCACAGCAGAGGGAGGGAAGACTGTGTTTGATGTAGGGCGCGTTGGAGCGCCCTCAGTGAAGTGGCGGCCTTAGATGCACCCAGCCTCGGTATGCTGTGGAAACATAATGGAAGCTGGTTGAGAGTTCAGGCGAGGCTGTCCAGAATTTACATTTATATTAAGGCTGCAAACCCCCCTGAGCTGCACTGGAGCCGAGGAGAGACGCACTCGGAGCTGCTGTGTTCACGTCTTCATGATCAAACTGTTGTTTCACTCTTGTTTCGCTTCGTCTTATGTTGCTCTTTGCATTGAAATGCTCGCAGCAAGATGCTGTGGAGATTTTTGGGGGGCTCATTTCAGCCCAAGATGTGGTTTTTGCGTTGCTTAAAATGTCAAAAAGATGCAGTGCATTGGTTTGGTTGGGATTTTACTGATCTCAGCGCTGCATTAATGGTTTTTTAACATTGCATCATATTTCACAGAAGAAGCACATTATGAGAATCTTAAACATTGCCCTAAATCACTCCCAGTTTCATTTATCATACTGTGTGCTATAGTCACACTATACTTTCTCTGGCATCTAAGTGGCCCTCAACAATTCCCACAGTGGACAAGTTAGTGTTGATGGCATGCACTCAGCTTTCTACTACCTATTTAAAAATGCAGTACATCATATAAGAGATTTCTTCCTTCGGCTGCTCCCTTTGAGGATCTCCAGAGCAGACCATCAGCCTTCATTTCACCCTGTCACACCAACCTCTGTATGTCCTCCTTCACTACATCCATGGGTTTTCTCTGTGGTGTTCCTCACAACAAAATAAGATCATTAAAAGGTTTAAGGCAAAGAACCTGACCTAAAATGAATCTATTCTGATATTTAACTATATTTAACAATATTCCAGTGCAATCCTTGACCTGCTATGATGCACATGATGATGAAACTAATGAGGAGAGGTAGTAGTTTTGTTACATAAAGGCGTAAAGGGTTCAATTTAATGGATTCTGGCCAGATGAAATCTACTCGATTGGTAATAACAAAGCATATTTTTCTTAATAATTAATCATTTCAATTCAATTTTATTTATTCAGCGCCAAATCACAACAACAGTCACCTCAGGGTGCTTTATAATCTAAGGTAGACCCTACAATATTACATACAGAGAAAAACCCAACAATCATATGACCCCCTATGAGCAAGCACTTTGGCGACAGTGAGGAGGAAAAACTCCCTTTTAACAGGAAGAAACCTGGTAAAGAAATGTTAGAGATTAATAACAAGTATGATTCAGTGCAGAGAGGTCTATTAACACATAGTGACTGAAGAAGAAATACTAAATGCATCATGGGAATCCCATTATCCCATTATTTCAATAAAACTATAATTATATATATATATATATATTTCAGTTACATTTTACTAAAAATGTTTTTGCTTCAAGAATATTTTTTTCAATGTAAAACAGGAAGTGGAAACAAGGGAGGCAAGCAAAAGTACCACATGTTCAAAACCGAGGGAGACAAAGTATATAAACATGAGAAACATGAGAAGGAATAACAAATCAAAACAGTGACCAAATTTGGTTTTACTTTCAAACCCTAACAGAATATATTTACTGTGAAAGTGTAAAAATAAAAAAATAAATCTGTGGTTCAGTGTAGGACTTGAAACGTGATCTCTGGTGTGATCGATCTAATTATTCTTGCCTCTTGCTTCCGAAACGTCGAGTTTTGAGCCCTGCAAAATCTCAGCTTCGTCTACATGTGCAAAACTCAACAGATGTCGACGCGGCCTGATGAGAAATGTGTTGATGGGAAGGAATTCAAGCCTCGAAAACACATAAATACCACGACTGTTTCAGGAACACAAATGTCTGCCTGCAGACACCGACGCCGACGCGTGCAAAGTCATTAGGAGAAGACCTTTCGTGCGCAGTTTCAAAGTGCTTTTCTTCTGCATTAAAAACGGGGAGGCTCTGACACTCTTTTAAAGGTGATCGATGTCGAGGCGTGGGGGAGTTTTGGGTTTTTGTTACTTGCTGACTAAAATGCTGCTTGTGCTCAGATGCTCCTTAGGAGTCATAGTTTTTTATGCCTTTACATAGACTTGCACCTTTTTTTTAATCAAACGTGCAGGGAGATGCTCTTCTTTTATGCTGATAATTCAGACAGGTATGTCTTTGAAGTGTGTTATCCTTCCAGGGGTAAGATTTCTGTGTAGATGGCCTTATTATCCATAATTTGCAGGTCATGCTACGGGTTTCTGAAATGTGTTTAGCAGTGACTTTCAAGGACCTCTCTTGAGAAACACCTAATTGACTGGATGAATTAAATCTCACATTTGAAAATATCAGTGAAATGTTTAGACGGTGTTTGGCACCAGTCTCTCGAGTCGTGAAATGTCATTAGGCTTCATAATTATACATTTCACAGAGACAATGAGGTTCGCCACCTTTCCACACACACTGTCTCGCTAAAGGAAACTACCTCAGAGCAAACAGCTGCAGACAACAAAAGTCTGGCAGCAGAACTGAGAAAGTGTTGTGTTTTTTGTCTTTTTGCAGATCATGACTCTGGAAGATGGTGTCTGAGATTTGAATTTGAAGTCTAAAGCTACAGGACCAACAGCAGATACAGAGGTGCCACACTGAGCTACAGCCAGGTATCGTCACAACTGACTGGTGTTTCTATTCTTTTTGGCTCAAAGTATGGCGGTGGTTGCATTTTATAGTTGATTTGTTCCGATCCTGGGACTAAAACCTCAAAAATTCTAATTCCAGCAGCAATCTGAAGATAATATCTGCAATTAAACCATTTTTTGTGCACAAACTCTGGACAATTTCAAGAGAGTCAGATCAGATGGGCTTTCTCTCACCTAGTATTCAGCAGGAAACAGGGAAACAGAGCTAGCAGGTTAAAGACTGACTGATTAGTGTGTCTACAGGGTGTGTATGGTTGTAATGGCTTCAGTAGTCCATATAAAGAGTTGTTCAGAGTGGTTTCCAAGTGGTGGTTTGAGTGGTTTTATATCAGCCACATGAGAAAAAAGAACCTAAACCGAAATCTTAAGATAGAGTAATGCATTAAATCCTTGCTGTAGTTGGTGATATCATTATTTGCAAACTTGTGCACTGGTGTGTTTGGGTTCCTCTGCAATCACAAGAAGCTGAACAACAGCTGAAACACAGGAAGGAGAGAAGAAATCAGGGCTGATTGAGTCTAAATGTTCAGCACATGCTCACTCCGCTGCACTATTACATTTTCTTTTAGGAGGTTTGGTCTTTGTGGTAGTTAATATACCTTAATGTGTTTGCACAGACAGACCTATTAGGATTCTTGGGGTGCAGGCCAGGCTACAGTTTAGGCTGGGGTATAGAGTGACGCCGTAGCCTTTATCGTGGGTTTAATGCAGAACTATAAATCATGCATTCAGCTGTTTTACTGCAGAACTGTCTATATAAATGAAATGTTACTTTAACATATCCACATTAGCTTTTTGTTTGCACTATTTAGTCTAAACAGTATCTGTCGGAGCTTTTGGAAACTTGGCTTTCCCGCTTGTAATTAATGACTTTGATGCTGATGTGAATGCTGCAAATGGGAATTAAAGTCCTCGTGTCTCCAAGGACAGCTTAAAGCAGAGGTGGCACAGTGCCTCACGGAAATATGAACACAACTACTTCTGCCACTGCAGTTTCAGGAAGCTAACTCGTTTTCCCTCTGCAGATGGAGGTGAATGCAGTTGAAAAACGCCATCGAACGCGATCCAAAGGAGTCAGAGGTATGTGTCTGTCCATCTGCCTGTCAGGTTTTACAAATGTTTTCTTTCTTTTTTTTTTGCCAGCGTGGCTCAAGACCGCTGAATGAATCACCGTGTATTAGGAAAAAGCCAATTTAGACATCTAATATGTTAGCTGCTCCTGTCCCAAAACTTTTATTCACACAAATTTGAATGTAACAAATCTTTCAACATCTATTCCTTGTGAAAAGCCTCCATGTCAAAGTGTCCCTGTGCAAGATATTGAACTCCAAGTTGCCTGTGATGCATCCATTGCAGTGTGATTGTGTGCATGATAAAGGACATATAATAAAGAGATGTATGAATGCATGTGTGTGTGTGTGTGTAAGCGGGTCAATGTAGTTTGTACCTTAGAAAGAGCTCAGTTAAGGTAGAAAAGCACAATGATACCTGAAAGCAGGACCCAACCTGTTAACCTGTTAGGTTTATGATATATAAACCTAATCCTGCACGCAGGATTAGGTTTATATATCATTTTTAGCGTGGGCTATTATTTCTCTTATAATCCTCGGTGACCTTTTGTATTATATATTTGTATATTTGTAGAAAGTACGTTTGTCTACAACAGTAAAATTAGAAGATACCTTTCTAGTGATGTCCAGTTAGTAAATGGGTAAATTTTAACATATTTTACAGGTTATATTTCTGCCTCCACTTCATGCTAACTACAGTGGGATCATCTGAAGCACAATTACAGCGGATGTGTTTATTATTGTTAGCTCGTGACTGTTGAAAGCATTAACATTAATCTTTGTTGTTGTGTCCCTGTCTGCAGCCGCCGTGGAAGCAGTAACACAGGAGTTATTCAGGTAGGTAAACCTCTGCTGATCTCATGCATCCATCACTGTACTGCTCTTTTTTCTTCTTCTTTTTTTATTGCATTTTGGCTTTGTATTGAGGCAGCAGCTAGCATTCATCAAAGAAAATATTACTGAGAGACTTTTCCTGTATAATCAGTTATATGTCATTTCTATCCATCATTTCGCAGTTCTTATTCTCAGGCCCACCACGTCTGCTGCTGGGGTCCAGCCTGTGAAATACAGGAATCGGCCTGATGCAGTACATCAGATTTTTGAGCCTGAGCTGAGCTCGAAGGCGATAAATAAATACCGTCGGTCGCGTGTTAATTTGTCCAACGCTGTGTATTACACAAACAGCTAATTTAAATTAAATGCAGCCAGTAATTCATTAAATTTTGATGACTGACTAGAGAGAATCAGCAGCAGCTCCTGACAGTGACTGCTGAATACCACTGCTACCTGTGTGTGTGTGTGTGTGTGTGTAAATGTGTGTGTGCGAGAAGGGCAGGTTTCTGCTTCACTTAATCTCATTTAGTAAAACTGACAAATATTGGTGTGTGCAGCAGATTATGGTCGAACCCAGTTTGATCCAGGTCAGCGCTTTACTGTAAACAACATGTCCTGCCTGTGCCGCGTGAGCCCGGAGCGAAGGAGCAGAAAACTCGGCGTGATTCACCCGGAATTTAAATCTGCTGGGTGCTGGTGAGGGCCAGACACGGACAGGGCGAAGTCAGCAGTAAATCGTGGAAATGATTCACAGAGTAAATACTGCAAAATATTATAAGAACGTCATGACCAATCGCTTAAATGTGTTCGTCAGTTTTATTTCTTCATCACAGTCGTTGACTAATCTGACTAATCTTCGGGGATAAACATGTACAAATAAATTTGCCATTGCGGTGTGATGCGGCAGATTTGGGGGGGAGGGGAGTGAAATGAAAATTCTACCACGACTTAATTTAAATTGCTAAATAAATACATCACATCTGTCAGCTCAGTGGGAATCAGAGCTGCAGCTAATGCTGCACCACAGCGATGAATTTTAACTTTAGCTGCAGTAATTTCTGGGATGACTAATGAGTACAGCTAATGGTGGACATTTACAGTTCCCTGCGGATGGTGTTTTGGTGGACCCCTTGAACTCTCTTCTGGTGTAACCATTGGGCTGCAATTTCAGCTTGTACCCAGGAAATGTCAACATTTGATGAGCACACTGTGGGGACAAACTCTCATCTAAATCCCGGTGTGCCTGATGTGTTTCTGGCTGCAGAAAACAAAAGGAAGAAAGCAAAAATCACACCTGATTGTAATCTAGCTGTTATCCCCTTCAAAGTTGACTCCTTTTGCAGTCCATTTCTGAGCCAAGAACATGTGCTTCCACGATGTGATTTGCATTTCTTCCTTTGGGGAAGAGGACAAAGGGTGCATCAAGTCACATGACCCTGACCTGATGTGTCAGATCAGTTTCTTATGCAAATTTATTAGCTTTGTTAGCTTTTTCTGCATTAACTCAGATCACGCTCCTATTCTAATCTTAGAATGATGAAGCTTAACTGAAGTTTAAAAAGGCAATGTCACACCTCTTATTCAGGTGTTTTCAGCCACATTGCCACACAGGTATAAAATCAAGAACCCAGCCACAGTCTGCCTTAACCAACTTGTGAAAGAATGTGTCGTTGTAGTCAAGCGTGGTGCTTTAACAGGACGCCACCTCGATGTTTCATGATCAACTGATTTTGATGTTATTAGCAAGTGGAAGTGCTGTGGCAGGATTGGGGAGTGCCAACCTGCACAGAATGCTCTGCTGACTGAACAACTGCAGAGCTCTGAACCTCCTCTGCCATTAACATCAGTACAAATACTGTGTGCCGGGAGCTCTGTGGACGAGCAGCTCCCTTGAGAAGAGCCGGCCAAACAGAAGAAGGATGAATTGGGTTGAGGAGATGAGCTGACTGAACTGACAGGATACGTAAAGTACAACTACAAGATAAAGAAGAATAGTTTTGAAATATGAATCACGCATACTCCAAGAAAAGTATAGAGCTAGTATAATGGGTCCCCTTTATTTGATATTATAATGCATGACTGGATGTTTGGTGGAAAAAAAACAGATTGGGTGAACATTTTTCTGTTTGTGTGTCCGCTTATCTGAGACATACTGATAGATGATAGGAGTGGGAATGGGATACTCCTTTCTTTATTAAAGCAGCCCTGCTGTTGGTAATCAGTCGTTTTCAATCAACTTCAATCAGTGGATTTGAATAATTGCAAACAATAATCAGAGAAACAGAAGATCAGAGGGTGCAGATTTAAAGAAAGCCATTGTATCGCGTCACATAACTGTGTCTAAACTTTAACTCAGGGAGGGTTAGCACACAGCAAGCCTTTCAATCTCACAATGAATCTAAAAATGCTCTTCAGATGAGAGCGACTTGAAACTGATTTCAATAGTACTGTATGTCACTGTGCTGACATCAGTAAGACTGATTATTACACTGTGATCGGGAGAATAATGCTGAAGTCAAAGGCATATTCAGCTGCTGTGGAAACAAGTGGAAACATCTCACCGCAAAAGAGAAACAACCTTTTGTAATTTCAAACTCGGGCTCGTTAAGGTTAAGGTCGCACTGATGCATTGTAAAAAAAAAAAAGTTTTACCATGTGTGTTTGGCTCTAACCACACACACACACACACACACACACACACACACACACACACACACACACACAAAGCTGTGGTGGGATCAATAATGCAGTGCTATCAGTCTCAGCTCCCACACCGGTTGATGAGCTGCCTCACCTTGAACAAACCATCTCCTTCTCCTCCTCTCCTCTTTCTCCTTCCATTCCTCCTCCATTTGGCTGTTTTTTCCTTCTTCTTCACCTCTCCGTCACACTCTTTTTGTCTTCCTACTTCTCATTTTCCCTCTCTTTTACTTCCACTCCTTGTTCCAATTCCTCTCATTTACCTACCTGCAGTCCTACTCTTCTTCCTCCTCTTTAACCTCCTCCCCTCTGTTCTCCACCTCCTCTGCCTCCCTGCGCTCGTGAGCCTCACCTCTATTTTCGAGCAGCTCTCATTTTAGCCCGAGGTTGCAAAGCATATAGATCAGGTGATGTTGGGTGGGTGGAAGGGTGGGTGGAGCTCTGCAGTGCGGGGTCAGAGGTCGTGCTGGGTGTGGAGTCCCTGAAGGCAGGCAGCGTGATTTGGCTGCACAGTCTGCGTGTCTTCACTGCAAAGAGGTCTGAAAGCGTGACTCAGAGCTCGGGAGAAATCTACAGCTGTGATGCAGAAATAAAAAAATTAATTAATTAATAAATACATAAAGAGATAAGAACTGTTAAAGCTGTGGCTGACAGATGAAAATGTTCCACATCTGTCTTAATGAACCAGAACAAATGCTGATAAAAAAAAAAAGATGCAAAACATAATCCAGGAAATCAAAATTGGATCACAGATGTGATTTTTAAGGTTTTGTCCAACAGCCAGTGCTTCACAGGGTTTTATGATGCTGCAAGGGAAGACTGATAACCATAAAGGGAACAAGTAGAGATGCACGTGCAAAGTAATCTGCAAACATTGCATGCTTGTGTGTGGGTTTTTTCATGTAATGAGAAGACAAACAAGCTAAATCCCTGGGACAAAAACATCATCTCCTCTTGCTGTGCTGCTTTGCTTCCAGCATGACTAACAACTTTACATCGCTCTGTCAAAGGCTGCTCTCTGACCCAAACATTCGCGTTTCTGTCATGTCCGCTGGATCCCTTAAATTTGAATTTCATTTTGGCAAAGAGGACAGTGTTGCACGGAGCCAAGTCTCGCAAAATTTCCTGCACACTGCACATGAGGTCCATACTGAAATCGCAGGTGCACGCGTGTCTGAACGGGATATCCATGAAGCAATAAAACAAAGACAGCAGCCATACTGGAAGTGGTCACAAGAAGATGAGACTGAAAGTGAAACTGTTAATTTAGATAGGGCACTTTCTTTTCTTTCAGTGGGAGGAGTGGTCCAGTGGTTAGCACTGTTGCATCACAGTAACAGGGTCTGAATCCACCACGCTGGCTGCATGGAGTTTGCATGTTTCTCTGTGGATGCCTGTGGATTCTCACCAGCTGCTCTGGTTTTCTACCACACTCCAAAGACGCGTGTGTTAAGTTAACTGGTGATTCAAAATTTTGTTGGTGTGAACTGCGTTAGTTAAGAGGGTGGATGGATCCTTCTGGTGGGACCTTCTAAATAAGCTCGTTTTTCAGCAGACAGGTCTGAGTCTGTGGAGTTTTTCTGTATCACAACAGACCATTAGGTGCTGTGGGTCCCTAAGCATGAAATTTCAAAATAGGCCTATTATGGTTTTCCTTATTTTCTGCTGTTACAATGGAAAAAATATTGAAACCAAATAACAATCTATTCAGGACATAAACCCCCCAAAAAATCCACACTGAGAAAAGAAAAAGTCCACTCCACAAAAAAAAGACATATGTATCAGTCATTAAAAAAATAATCCCAGCCCACATAAAAATCATCAAAAGGAAGTTTTGACATGATTAGATCTATGAGTTACTTTTCCAAAAAGATTATCTTTTATCTTTTGGGTTCTTAAACAACTGAGGTTCATTCTCAGTAGAAACAGCTTTGGTTCTCCATGCTGAAATCTTTCCAGAATCTTTCTGTGAAGCATCTCAGTACAACTGTTATTAGTTCATAAATATGTCTTTATTATAATAGGTAGAAGTTACACTTGTTTGCGATAACCAGTTAAAATTTATTAATCTGTGCAAGCAATGAGCATGAACTGATTTTTGATCTGCTAGTGACATTTCAGCTTCCAAATCTTTTGTTGTGACCTCTCTTGGGAGACAGACACTATCTCTACTTTTAAGATTGGGCTTAAAACTTTACTTTTTGATAAAGCAGTTAGGGCTAGATCAGGTGACCCTGAATTCTCCCTTAGTTCAAGTATGCTGAAATAGGCCTAGGCTGTGGGGGATTCCCATGATGCACTGTTTCTTTTTCAGTCACTATATGTTTATACACCAATCTGCATTTAATTATCAGTTATTATTATCTCTGGCCTCAACCACAACTGGTTGCGGCAGGGGGCTTCTCCTCCCTGAGCCTGGCTCTGCCAGTTTCTTCCTGTTAAAAGGGAGCTTTTTCTTCCTACTGTCCTCTGGTTGTTGGGGTTTTCTCTGTATTATTGTACGGTCCTTATCTTACAGTATAAAACACCTTGAGGCAACCGTTATTGTGATTTGGTGCTATATAAAAAAATGTAACCTCTTTGATGAGCAGGATGTAAGGTGATAATAAAATTTAAACATTTGTTTGCCGTCAGTATTTCAGTCAGTTTTTCGGGGCCTAGTAAGTGAATTATGCTTTTATGTACAATTGCTTGTATTTGATTGGCCAGCACTGCACAGTTTTGCTGGAAAAGGTCATCATATTGTGCTGAAGGAAAAAAAAATAACTGTTATCCTTGCATTTTTGGCTGAAGCCTTTTGTATTGGTGCCCCTGTGGATTTAGAAATGAATGAGGAGGCTGAGTTGAAGCGCTGTTGTCTGTCTGATTGCCGACTGTAAGAATAATCCAATGAAAAGCAGGCAGTGGCCTTGAATTTAGAGGAACTACAATGGAGTCCAATGGTGAAAAAAAATTAAAAAAATCACAGATAAGACAGTCCAGATCACAACAAGCTAAATGTGGACAAATGTGGGATGTTACTAATGCTGAGTTTACACCAGCTTCACACGGTTGTGAGTAGTTTTCCATTTTTACCTTTTCTCTGTGCTAATGTCCACGTTATTCACTTTAAATCTGTATAAATTGTGACTTTGTGGTAATTCACATTTCTTCCCAGTTGTTACTCTCTCTCCTGCAGCATTTACTTTTTAGAACTAGAGCCCCAACACGTGAAAAATGGGATATTGCTGTACAATCTCAAATAATTTTAAAAATAAATCCTGCTGTTCTAAGAAGCCACCTCCTGTGGAGTTCAGAGATGATGGTATAAACAGGATTATGCTACATTTTTTTTTCTCCAGAGGATCATCTTGACTTGGACAAAGTAACTGGTGGCAACACAAAGCTGAATAATTTTAAAGGTAGAGTGTTGGAAATCTCACCACTAGATGTCAGTATATTGCAGATTTCATTCAACTGAATTCTGGTTTCCTATCCCTCGAAATTCAAGTGTAAAATCTTAGCTGTGGTGGTGGCCACTGCAGAGCAAGCATGATAACCGGCAGTGACGTAATTTTGTGGAAAATGTATTTCTTTTTCCTATGGGGCATTTACGAAGTTATGCTGGTGTTTTTAAAATTCATGTTTGAGTTTATGCCTGTGTTTTTTGCAAGTTTGCATTATAATATTTGTTTTTGTTTTTGAGGGTGGCTGTAGCTCAGGAGGTAGAGCAGGTCACCTACTGATCGGAAGGTTGGAGGTTCGATCCCAGGCTCCTCCAGTCTGCATGCCAAGTATCCTTGGGCAAGATACTAACCCCAAGTTGCTCTCCGATGCGTCCATCGGAGTATGAATGTGCGTGAATGTAGTTAGAAAAAGCACTAAGTATAGATAAAGTGCTTGTGAGAATGGGTGTGACTGGGTGAATGTGGCATGTTGTATAGAGCGCTTTGAGTACTCCGGGAGAGTAGAAAAGCGCTATATAAGAATCAGTCCATTCAGTCCATTTTTCCTGCAGTATATAAAAATTGGTGTATCTAAAAAATAAAACTATGAAGACACTCAAAATAATTTTTTTGCATTTACAGTTTTGAGGGATATCTCTCTAAAATTTCTCTAACTAGAAATATGTGTAAAAAAAAACCCCAAAACGATTTTTTTTTAGTTTATTGCACTTTTTTGCCATTTATGTAGGTATGGACTTGAATGAATTTGGGATAAAATGGTTGTATTGATGTATAGCAACTTGAAGTACTCCCAAAAATGGCGCTACAGCATGTAAAAATATAAAGATGAGCTCTGGGTTCTATGGTAGGTCTTAAAGGGTTAAAATCTTTCTCTCTCTGTATTTAATATCATTTTTTTCCCAGCGCTGGTCGGGTTGTCGCATGCCTTTATTTTTTCACTTCTTTGTTGTAGAGGAACCATTCTCAAATGATAAAACTTAGCTATGATCCTTCATATCTTGGGTCTGAAGGTGCAGACAAGAATTTAAATTTTGCCTCCACCACAGGTAAAACACCTACGATTTCTCCTTTCCTACATGTTTTCCATACTGCATATGTGTCTTTAGCCACATACATAAAATGCGGTCCAACTCGTCCACTGTATTCAAGATGGTGGAACAACATGGCAGCTTCCACAAAGCGGTGCCCACACCTATGTGTTTTTAATGTATTAATTCTGAGTTTATGAGAGTGCTTCAGTTTATTGGAAGACACACTTACACACTAATCAGTGTATATTTATGTGTACGATATTTGTTCTATTAAATAACCTCAAAAAGTAACTCACTGTACCTTTATGCTGAACAAATGTCATGGCCATTAGAGACTGCTTTGTGTACAGAAGTTACTCTTTCAGATTAAAACCCTTGTAAGTGTAGTGGTAACAGGTAATAACATACTTATAAGCATCTATTTAACTTGCATTAATCTGACTGTATTGTAACCTTTATGAGGATATTTTCTCTCAATGCATGTCATTGATGCAAAAAAGCATACTTAACTGTTAAAAAATGCATAACAGTATGTACACAAGGAGAACAGAAATACTTGTGTATGTAAAAAGTCAGAAAAACACATGTAAACGAAAGTCTTAAGAAGCTATACAAGCTATAAAAAAACTGCAGCAGGGCATGAATGATAGATATAAATAGGCTGAACGTGCAGCCCTGGATGAACCTCAGATATCATTATATTTTGCGTGCTGGATTGAGATGGTCTGCGTGCGGTACAGGAAAAATAAAATCCAGACTTGCTGAAGGACAGATGATGTGCTGCTTGTTTCTTTCTGACCATGTGTGTTTCCTTCTCAGCTGTCCCACCCCCGGCTGTGATGGCAGCGGTCATGTCAGCGGGAAGTACGCCAGACACCGCAGGTATGAGATGCTCGACATATTTTCTACAGTGTAAATGACGCTCTTAGATACTCTTAGAATAATGTTAGGTGTTGTAATATATTGTCATGTCAGTGTCTTTGAGCTGGCGCTGGTCTTTATTTTGCTTGTGCCTGAGATATGAAGCTGCTTTAAATGAAGCCAGTGCAGCTGAGGTCTGAGGGAGCTCTAAAATGTGTCCTGTATATATGAAAGATTGGGATATCGTCCTAATCAGCACACGTCATCGGCTCGGTCCTGCCAACACTTGTGGAACTAATCATCTTTATTTAAGCACTGGACAGCAAATAAAAAAAAAAATCTGTTACAAGGTCCTTTAAACTGAGTATTCAAATAAAATGAAACTGATGACATGAACAGTTGTAAGCTAAAAGACAATTTAAAAAAGGATATGACCTGAAATAAAGTGGAAAAAATGAATATAGTCAGGGAAATACTTGCATAAATTTTCAACAGTCCATCTTAAATGGGGGTTTAGGAGATGTTAATGACACCACCAGCTGGTTTCCTCCGTTTCAGAGCCCCGGAGCCTCAACTTCAAAGACCGCTGAGACAGATAAAACACCTCAGCCTGTGAATTGTAAACGACATACCGAGTTGTATGGTATTACAAGGTCATGTAGCTGAGAGAAAAGGCTTACTAGTGAGCCATCAACAGGAGTTTAAAGTGAAATCGGAAATGCACTAGTTTAGCAACAGCTGAGAGACCAAGAAGGGAACAGCTAATGGCAATTTTTTGGCCAACTTTTTGACTGCTTGCTTTTGCCAGTAAAGCTCATCAAGAAGTTGTTTTTGGCAATTTTTTAGATTGACAAAGAGTAAGTTTCTTAAACAAAACTGTGGATTTTTCTTTTTGTGTTGGACAAATTATCAGTATATTCTAATCATCTGAGGTGCAAAAGTAAAGAGGTTCATTACACGTGAATGTTTTCTATTTTGGGTGTTGATTGACTCTTAGGTTGTGTCACATCCGCCATCATTAGGATTCAGAATTCCTCCTGTTCAGGATTCTTTTAAAATGTCACTGGAAATCTTAAGCTAGATCACAATTGAAGATTTTTGCATGGTTTATGACATGACCCAGTCACTAATGGACAGTACTGGCTCATTCTGGAGCCATTTGGGTAAATGTACACATACAGATGTGTGGGCTGTGGCATTGCAGTCTTGTGCGCCGCTATGGCACAATCCTGCCGTAACGATCAGGGTAAAATTGATTGCATTGAAAACAATAGCTCAAATTAACAGACCTTCATTTGGATGGAGTGATCCTGTCTTTCACTGACATGTTTAGAAATATGGCTTGGCGAAGACAGAGAATTTTTGGACATATCTACCACTGACAGACTGTATTACCAAAGGCCAATTTATCATGGACAAGAACCCAGTGAGGGAATTTTTTGGATTCTCCTGAGATGGTGCATTAGGCAGCTGTGTTTTGTAAAATATTCAACCAATTTAAAAATGATGCGTTTAATAATCCGACGATCATTTGGCAAAAGGAACGTAGATACATTGTAACTATGTATTACATTTTATTTTTTCTCCCTCTAAACTTCATGAACTAGTTTTTATATGATGCTGTTCTGCTCTAACTGAGCACTTGGATACAACATGCCTCATTCACACACATGGGTGGAAACTTGGGATTTAGTATCTTGCCAGGGATTGAACCACCAATTTTCTGATTAGTAGCTGACCTGCTCTAGCTGCCCCCAACCTTATAGCTCCTGGTATTTCCCAATGGTCTCCCGTCTGAGATCAGACAAGATTGGGCTTGCTTACACTTGATGTCCAGCGACATATGCTCGAAATGCAAAGCAGATACAGGAATATTTATACATTCCAGTCAATCTTGGCCACTTTCTCGATCAGTTGGAATTGTTGACCCTATGACTAAGGAAAGACACTTCCTTCTCAAACATAGAAGCTACATTAGAAATGATATTATATATATATAAAAAAAAAATGTTGGCAAAAGATCATAATGGTATTGAAAACCTCAGCAGATCTTTGGGATGGATTTTTATTGGCAATGTTTGAAGTTGTAAGACATGGTTGCTGCCTTCTTTGTATCTTTCTGTTTCTATGCCGTTCCCCCTTCTTTCTTTCTGTATTCATGTACTTAAGTAAAATAATGGATACAAATTGTGTATATTGTGAAATACGACAATACAGGATTTAAACAGATAAAATGGAGAGAAAAGTGAAAAAGAATAACAAAAAAGTTGCAGACTTTTCTTGGCGGTGGCTCACAGGCTTCAAACGTCTCACTCAGCAGCTGAGAAAACGAATCCTACCAACATTAAATGGGCTCATGTCACGGTTTCAGACCTCCTCGATCGGCAGGTCACAGCCTTCATCTCAGTAAATTCGTCCCTCTGTCACGAGGCTGCAGATAGAAAAAAAAACCCAATCTGGTGGAGTGTGGCGCTGCGAAGTCCTCAGGTCACATCACTCGGGCTGTAGGACAGATGGTTTGTGCCTCAGATCTCTATCACCTCTGGAAATAGTGAATTACCAACATAATTATCGGAGCTCTAAAATTTAAAAAAAGCATTAAAGACTTTTTTCTTGCGAAAAAAGACAAAAAACAAACCTGAGAAAGTTATGTATGCACAAACATAGAAGTGAAACAACATGAAACCACCAAACTTTTTCTGCACAAATCCTGGTAGAACATGTATGAATTATAAAAACCAGGTGAAATATATATCAAAGCAAGCCTGCTGTATCTCCACTGAAGTAGACTGGATCACAGAGGTTTTCCCTCAAAGAAGATCTATTTGAAATCTGAATATGAGAATTTATATATATGTTCATAATAAATGTATATATAGAGATTATATACATATTATATATATAGAGAGAGATTTATTATGAAATTTATTATGAAATCCAAGCACTTGGATTTCATTGGAGTATGTCCAAAATAAGCATAAAATATCTTTTTTAAGTGTAGGTGGTTGGTCTGTGTGTGCGTGGGGGAGGGCGGCATGCAGAGGGTGCACAGCTAAGGACAGCATTTCGATAAAGCCTGTGGTAACAAAGAGATAATGAGGAGGGCATGATGGTGAATCACTGGCAGGGCAGACGGATGGCGCAGCAAAGGGCACAGAGGAAGCTCGGGAATTTCAGTGTTGGGCGAAGAAAGAGTCAAACGGGGGGAAAAAAGAGTGTCATTATAGGAAACGCACACCTGTTTATTAACGGTTTCATGTTGGTGAGACGACAAAGATGGGATTTGCTACTATTGTAGTATTGCCCTTACATCCTTTTTCGTTACTCTGGTTTTACTGTTACTCCAAAAAGTGTTTATTCAGGCTTAAGGAGTTGCAATGTCGATGCATTTAAACTAGATTAACTCTATTTTGCTGTTGCTTGCTGGTAATTCAGCACAGTGATTCAGGTAGTTCAGTGAAAGGGAAAATATTCATTTATTTATTTATTTTATTTCACTGTTTTTTTCTCTATGTAATTAAAGACTGTTTAATAACATTGCACTCTTTTTTGTAATGATCTTGAGTGTGTGACATGCGCTGCAAATAAAGGTTGCATGTAGTTTCTGGGTCTGAAAAGTGACGTCGGGGCAGAAGTGGCAGTCATGTTTTATGCTTTATTGTTAATTTGACTCTAAATGGGATTGCAATGTACAAAACAACCGTCTTTTTAGTTAGAAAATTAGATAATATTCCCATTGTCATCATTTTCTTTTTACTGAAACCTTAAACCATGTGAGCATTCATTTACCAAAGGTCTGCCTTTTATTTGGAACCAGAAACCTCACCCCCTGTTGGCCACTGGACAAACTGCAGCTTGTGGTACTGCTATATTGTCTTGACTTTGCAGATCCAGAGGATTTGGCCATCTTTGTATACAGTCTACTGTGTTCTGTCAAGTTTTTTTGGCAGTAGCAATAAGAAAAGAACCAACATTTAATTATTTAAGTCAGTCAATAATATTATATATAATTTTCTTATCTCATGGACAGACACCAGTACAGTGCTGGACTGCAGCAGGCGATGGCAGTCCTTGTTCTGCTCTGCAGCCTTGCTTAGTTACAAAGCAGTGGCAGCAGCTCTCCAGCTGCTTCAGGTTTTGGTTTGAGTGGACTTCCAGCTCACAGCGCATCTCAAAAGAACAAGGGCTGCTGTTCCCAGCTGCAGTTCAAGATGGTGGGCATAAAATGGGACTTGAGACAGCCGAATTACATTGAACGTGAAAAAGTGAGCGGCGTTCTTGTGCAAGACAGGTTGCTGATTCGTGAGGGACTGAATTTCAAAATAAGAATAATGGTATTGTCCACCAATCCTTCAGTTGTCATAACAGATAAAAATACAAATGAATTGCAAATTTTACTTTGGTGGCTGACAAAAAAAAAAAACCCTAAGCAACCTGTCCAAGTACAGTGTGCATGAGAAACCCTGGAGTGTATATCACTGTAGAGAATACTACATACCACAATGTGTTACATTAGTGTGCTGTTTATGTGCAGTTTGAGTTTCCCATGTGGAAGATTTTGTGTGTTTATATGGGATTTGTTGGCAGTAAGCTTTATCCCTTTGTCTCGTCTTATTCCCCAAACCCAACCTCCTGCTTTGAGGATCCATTCACAATTTCTCCCTATTTCTCCCTATTGTTCTGCTGGGATCAATAACTCCTTGAGGCAGAGACGCAGTTAGTGCTTTCAGTGCTGCTGAATGAGTTTGGGGAGGAGACAGTCAGGTTCAGAGTCACTGTCTCTCTCCCTTTCTCCATGCTTCTGATTCTCCCTCCTTCCCCTACCTCTCTTTCTCTCTCTCTTTACCTCTCTCGCTTTCTCTCTGGAGGATGTCACCATGGCGACAGCACTGTGCGGATGCTGCAGTATGAGGACCAGGAGGGATGCAGCCTGTCTCCCATGGCAACTGCTAGTATACGATGTGAACATTGTGTCGCCCACACCACCTCCCCCCCCACCAACTCCTTGTATCACTGTCACC